TATATTAAAAAAAAAAACACTTGTAAATGTTAAGGTCCTTACTGCCTGTATCTGCTGTAAAAGAAAAGATGATCTTTCTCGCCAACCTTTCAGGAAATCGTCAGCCTCCAAGACGGCACAGAGTGGAGCTCAGCCTCTCACTGGCTCCTCCACAGCTACCGGAGCCCAGGTGGAGAAGAGGCTGGGCAGAGCCTCGGGGGACCTGGAGTCCTCCATGCTGGCCACCCTGCCGCGCAGCTTCCTGGATGCCAAGGTGCGGGTGTGGGCCCAGGCCCTGCCCAGTCCTTCCCTCCCTGTGTAGAGCTGACCTGCCAACAAGTTACTGCAAAATGCAGGACATGCACATTCCCCTTGTGAAGTAACCCTAACAGTTATACCCAGGCCTTTCCTTATGTAACATGTTTGGGGAAAAGAAGATGGGAGTAGGGAAAAGACAAAAGAGTGAGAGACAGAAAGTGTAGGTGCAGCTTCAGGGGATTAATGGCTTAGGGACCTCGTGGCATTCCCTGCCCTGTGTCCATGAGGCTGGCAGACACCCCTGTCCGAGAACATTTCACAGGGTGGGCCTTCTCTGACGTGGCTGGAGGAGGCCTGACTGTCTCCAGTGTTGCCCTGGTCTTGGCCCACGTGGTGGGAGTGGCACAGGGGCATTGGGAGGGCACTGCCCTGACATCGTGCCTGGTGTGGCAACAGCAGCGGCAGGTGTCCTCACCCCAGCTCCCACCTGGCCGGCAGCCCAGATCAGCTGGGGACCAGCTAGGCAGCTCTGTGGCCCTGCCCTAAGCTGAGAGTGCTCCCTTTCCCTTTTTAGGTTTTTTTTGGGGGGAAGTGGGGAGTATACAGCGCTAACCACCTGTGGCCTCCAAAGCCTAAAGTATTTATAGTCTGGCTCTTTACAGAAACTTTGCCAAACCTGCTGCAAATTCTTATCCAACCCTTTCTAAAATTCAGAATAACAATACTTTAAATCTGATTCAATTTTTATATCAAATTTTATACAATTATATTTAACAGATGCATTCTACGTGTATCTAGCACAGAGTTAGGAAAAAATGCTACTGATTCATGCTACCAGTATTACCTTATTCACCCCCTAATTTAGCTCACGCATTCTAATGTGAATTAAGCCTTCCTGCTTATTTAAAATTAGCCTAAAGCATGAAATTTGAAAACGTAAGTACAAATCAGGTGACACTGTACATGGCTGTGTTGTTCGTTTGGAGGCAAATGCGAAAGAGGAGGTAGTACAGCAGGGGAGGGTGTAGGACTCCTACAGAGCAGGACTGTACACTGGGGGCCGGCGCGAGGAGACCCTCGACAAAGTCCTTCCAGACCTTGGTCGCAGAGACCTCGTGTCCGCTCTGCTGGCCTGGCCTGTCTAAGGCCCTGGGTACAGCCCAAGTAAAAGGTACACACACTGCATGAGAAAGAAGGAATAGCGATGTCTGGGATAATTTTTTCTTTCCATATTTAAAAAATTGTGTACTACCAGCGATAAACGGGAATCTCTAATGCCATAATACTTTTCTCTCGTTTCCCCAGGGAGGAACTGACCTGATAATTAATAGCTATGGACCCATAATTAAAAACAACTCTAAGAAAAAGTGGTTATTTTTCCAGGACTCTGGGAGGAGAGTTGAGCAGGTAACTGACCCCTCAGTGCCTGGGACATGGGCAGGCCGGCATCCTGGGGTCGGGCGGGTGGTCCGGATCGGTGCCCTCGGGCGGGCGGGTGGTCCCGGCGGGCGCCCTCGTGCGGGCGGACGGGTGGTCCCGGC